TACCCGCCTCACCAGTGTCTGCATCATCATCAAATTGAGGCAGTCTCTTGCCGAGCTGGGGAAGTCCTGCGTGGGGGTCATCCTGGAAGTTGTCATTCTCTAAGGCCTCAAGCTGCCTGTTGATGCGGCGCTGTCGGGCTGCCCTGTCCAGCACCCGCCGCTGTCCAGGATCCTGGGAGCGAACTAGATGGGGCAGGGCCAGAAGAGTTAAGGGAGGCACAGAGTAGAGAGAAGCTGGGGTGACCTCAGCTCTGGGCAGTGTATGGATGATGTCCATTGGGTGTGGAGCCACGGTTCTCTGATCTCATCCTAGTCACCAAGCCCTTGGCCCCTACATCTTCTACCAATACAGTAGTTCCTCCTTATCTGGCGTTTTGCTTTCCACAGTTTCAGTGACCTGTGGTCAACCATCACCTAAAAATATTAAATGGAAAATTCCAGACATAAACAATTCATAAGTTTTAAATTGTGCACTGTTCTGAGTAGAATGATGAAATCTCATGCCAGCCCGCTTCATCCTCCCTGGGACTTGAACCATCCCTTTGTCCAAGTATCCAGGCAGTGTACACTACCCGCCCGTTAACCATTTAGTAACCATCTCAATTATCAGATCTACTGTCGTGGTATCATAGTGCTTGTGTTCAAGTAACCCTATTTGACTCAATAATGGCCCGGAAGTGCAAGGGCAGTGATGTTGGCAATTCAGGTATGACAAAAAGAAGCTGTAAAATATATGTATGTATAGAAAAAACAGTATGTATAAGGTTCGGTGCTATCTGCGATTTCAGGCTCCACTGGGGGCCTTGGAACTTACCCCGCGCAGAAAAGAGGGGTCTGCTATATATCAGCTCCTCTGGTTTGCTTCCTTCACAGCTAACTAAGACTGCTATTTTGGTCACTCGTATCTGTTTTCCATCCCTTTGGCCCCAGCCTTTTCTCCCAATCCCAGACACAACCAATGAAATGCCTCCTGGAGACCTCTCACTGCTGGCAGAAGCACACAACCATGTTAATGGAAATCACTGTACACTCAGGGCTTCCAGGCTCCATCGGGACCTTAATGCATTTTGCTTTCATGCTCAGCCCTCTTATTTCCTACCTCAAAGGAAATGGGCCACTGACATGTGCAGATGCTCATCTTTCAGTCCACCTTCAATCATAATTGCACGGGCACCTATTCTCCCTCCATTCGAAGTGGATGCACCTCCCCCCGCCCCCGACACACACACCAAGTTCCACTGCTAAACCTAACTCTTCACCTTCAAGCTGAATCTTCTCCTCTTTTTTGCATCTTCAATCTCTCTTCCTTAACTGGCACTTTCCCTTCAGTGGAAAAACCTGCTAAACACTCTTGCGTCTACCCAACTTCAGTTACTCTTCTTTGACAGTGTGGTCCATGTGATGTTTCATTTCCTCATCTCCAACCATTCCTCAACCCCCAGCAAACTGAGTACCATTCGATGAGAACCACTCACACTCAAGACACCGGTGCCCTACTAGGGCCAAGTCCAGTGTGCATTTTACTTGAGTTCTCTACCTTCTGAGAATGTGCTGACTATATATTCCTTGGGTTGAAAGAGTTCCTTCATCTGCTTCCTCAACATGACTCCAGGTTTTTCTTCTCCATCTCTGGCTATGCTTCTGCCTCCCACCTTGCCTTTTCTCTCTGCCTCTAAGGAGACAGCTGTCCCTGTTCTCTTTCTTGGTTTATAAACTCTTCTTGAGATTTCAAATTCAAACACAGGGCTCTCTCACCCACAAGCAAATAATTCCAAAAGTGATCCTCTCAATCCAGAACCTTCTCCTGAGCTCCAAAATTGACTGTTTAACCGGCTGCAGGAAACTACCTGCTGATTCCATTGACACTGCAACTCAAAATTAAAAATCTTCCCACCCAAGTCTGCTTTTCCTCCTGGAGACTTTCTTTAACTGGTTGGAACCATCTATGCAGACAGCCAAACCAAAAATCTAGGAGTTATTTTAAACCTCTCTGTTATCATATCAGCTGTTAACCAGGTTATGACAATTCTACACAAAATATCTCTCTATTCATTAAAAAATACTTGTTGAGTGCCTATAACCATACTAATAACATCAGTGCCAGTGGTTAACACTTACTGGGCATGAACTAGGAGCCAGGCACTATACAAAGCAATTTGTGTAAATAGACTCCTTTAACCCTTACAATAAATAACCCTATGAAACAGGTATCATTATCATCCTCAGATTACTAAAGTTCGTATAGCTAGTACATGGCTGGATCAGAATTCAAACTGCGAACTTCCCACCATCAAAAAACATGCTCTTGATCACTGCACTATACAGCCTCTTTTCCAAGAACCAGGTGGTACCCTAGGCTCTGGGACTGCAACCAGGGCCTACCATCTAGCAGGGAATACAAATGATCAAACAAACAAGCATGGTACAGCATAGTATATGCTAGTATAGGGAAGTACAGAGTGCCACAGAGCACATGACAGAAACACCTAGCCCAGCCTTAGGGAGTCAGAAAGATTTTCCAGAGAAAAATAAGTCCAGGTTGAGGCCTGACTGATGAATGGAAGTTAACCTGGTTGGGGGAGAGGGAAGGTTGTCTCAGGCCTTGGTACTAGTATGAGAGAATATCTGGATGGGAGACCGTGGTGCCTTCATTAAATTAAATGAAGTTCTGTATGGTTGGTATATAGAGTATCTTAGTGTGGGGGTGGGATATGAAGTCAGTCAGACCATTAAGAGTCTTTAAGTATCTAAAGGAATTTAGATTTGGGGATTTTTATGGTGAAGGTGATAGAAATCCGGTGAGGGGTTTTAAGAAAGTGACATGGCTGGATTTATATTACAAGTCAATCTGGAAGTGTTCCGACCCTCATCTCTTTTTATCTGGACTACGAAACAGCTTCCTAACTGGCCTTCCAGCCTCTAGACCTGTACTATCCAATAAAGTAGCCACTAGTCGCATGTGCTTATTTAAATTTAGATGTAGATAAATTAGAACAAAAAAAATTTTTCATTTTATTTCATTTAAAATAAATAAAATAAATAAAATTATAAATGTTCCTTGTTGCACTAGCCACATTTCAAATGCGCAACAGCCACCTGTGGCTAATGGCTGCCATACTGAACAGTGCTGATTAAGAACATTTCCACCATCCCACAGAGTTACATTGGATAGCGCTGCAATCCATCCTCTGCACTGAAGCCAGAACTGCTTTTCTAAAAGATAAATTTGTTTCGGTCACTCCCCTGCCTTAAAAGTCCTTAATGGCTCTCCACTACCCTCAGAGTTCAAACTCTTCGGCAGTGTATTTAATACCATTCAAGTGTGCCTTTCTCCAGCCCTCCAGCCTCTTTTACTATTCCTCTGCAAGTCTGGAACTGTGAACTTGGCTTCCTAAACGACTTGCTTTTTCTTGATCTCCTGCCCTTGCATTTGCGGTTCCTGCTGCCAGAAATGAGTCCCCGCGCACCTGCACTAAGTGAAACCTAACTCGACTTTCAAGCCTCAGTCCAAGCATTCTCTTCCCTTCCAAGCTTTCACGGTTCCCTCCTTCCCAGAAGCTGGGTTGGATGCCACTCCTTCCTGCGCCCAGGCGCTGTGCGTCCCTCTGCCATAGTACCTGTCATTCTGAAACGCAATGGTAGGTCTGCATGTCTGTCCCCCTCCCAGAAAGCCAGTTTAGGAAGAGAAAGATCTTTTTTCCTTTCTCCATCCCCAGCGCCCGGCTTTGAGCGGACATCAATAAAACGTGAACAGATAGATGGTATGGGGGAGTCCCTCAACGCCAGGACCCGAGGGCTGGAAAGAGGATTCGAGACTAACAACTGAGTGAGGAAATCCTAGGCCAGGTTCAGGTTTGAGAAGAGGAAGGCAGCCAACACCCGGGGGCTCACATACCTGAAGTTTTCTTCTCCACCATTTCCACAACACAGCGGACGGAAGATGCTATTGCGCACGCGTGCTAAACCACTTGTTTTAATAAGGATACATCACTTCCGGCGGTGTGTGCTTCTACGCGTGCGCAGAATAATTCCAATGCCTTAACTCATTGCGAGATGTTCCCTTGGAGACCAGAAAGCTTTCCGCCATATTTTATAGGGGCAAAAATACTTCCGGCCTCAGTGTAGTTGTATATTTTGTGGGATCCCTGAAATGGGTCATTTTAAAGAGGTGGTGCCAGTGGTCTTTTGAGAAATGTCATTTTCCTTTGGTCCTTCTATAGATGCCATCATCATAAAGGCAGCCCCTGGAGCTTCTCCCCGGGGCAGTAGAGATAATGGTCTGGACTTCCAAAGAAAGTGAGCAAACTTGAGTGGGCAATCCGAGAGGTCACTGGTGACCCTCTGCCGAAACTTCAACCCCTAGCTCCCCCAGGGTCTCAGACTCCTCGACCTTCTCCCTCCCTACCCCCCGCTCCTCCACTTGTCCCTGCTCCGCGCGCCCCGAACGCCTAGCTCTCCAATCTTCCTCCCGGCTGCCCCGGCAGGGCTGGAGCAAAGACCCGCCTCCAAGTCCCGTCGGACCCGCAAGGGGTCACTTCCCCTCTCCCCGCGGGTTTCAGTTTCCTCATGTGTCAGGCGGGCAGTGGTCCGGGCTGGCTCTGACCAAAATCCTCAGCTCGCGATCGCCGGCCAAAGCCCCCGCCCCAAGCCCCCGCCCCTCTCCCGCCTCCGGATCCCGCGTCCCCTCCGCTAGCTCCGCGCAGCCCTCGCGCCCTTGGACAATTCTCGCCTTGTCTCAGGCGCCGGCATAGAGTTTTCTGTAGCCTCCGGCTACGCACTTTTTCCAGGGCGGTGCCCCAGCCCTGCTCCTTCTCGCAGTGGGCGGCATAGCGGACCCCGTCCCCTTCTTAGAGCCCGCTCGGTAGCTGTGATCCAGGCGCGCAGCTGGAGCCCTGTGCGGGCCTGTGTGCCGTCTCCGCCCGCTTCCTGCCATGGCCTCCTGGGGCCTAAGTCTCCAGCTCCTGCTCCTGCTCCTGCTGCTGCTGCTGCTGCTGCCGCCGCCTTCGGCGGCCTCCGCCTCCGACCGTCCCCGGGGCGGCAACCCTGTCAACCTAGGTAAGACGCCCGGGAGGGCCGACTGGGCTCCGTGGTAACGTGCCGGTCGGGTCTTCGAGGGGGGACCGCCGACCTCTTCCACGCCCAGCGCACTCCTAGGGTACGAACTGCTCACTCCCCACCCTAAGCTAAGGTTTCCAGCCTTTTCGTGCGAATTGACGTGAAATTCCTGGGTGTCACTCCTATCCAGCTCTCATAGCTCTCATTGGGGTCGAAGTTTCCCTGGGGGAAGGGTTTAAGAGGGATTGAGAAAAAAGAAGTCACGGTAGCAGAGTTTGAGGGAGGGAAAGGGGGCCTGCGGTGAATGGAGCTCGTGGGGCAGTGAGCTGGGTGAGTGGGTCCCCAGTGCCAATTCCCGACTGGTGACAGAGAAGCTGCTGGTGATCACCGTGGCTACGGCCCAGACGGAGGGATACCGGCGTTTCCTGCGATCCGCTGAGTTCTTCAACTACACAGTGCGGGTGAGGAGAGGAATGCCTTCAAGGCCGCTATAGCTGAGTGGGCATTTCCAGAAGGAGTGGGCTGAGAGATGGATGCCTGGGGCCCCACGGTGAGCCTGGCCACCTGAATTTCTTCCCTGGCATGGTGATCTCCCTGACAGACCCTGGGCCTAGGAGAGGAGTGGCGAGGGGGTGATGTGGCCCGAACAGTCGGTGGAGGACAGAAGGTCAGGTGGCTAAAGAAGGAAATGGAAAAATATGCAGACCGGGAGGATATGGTCATCATGTTTGTGGACAGGTAAAAGAGAAAAATGGGAGAAGTGAACAGAAGGAGGAGGTGAGGATACTTAGATTCCTAGTAGCTGTCTTATTCATCTTTACCTTCCTTGCCAGCTATGATGTGATTCTGGCTGGCAGCCCCTCAGAGCTGCTGAAGAAGTTCATCCAGAGTGGCAGCCGCCTGCTCTTCTCTGCAGAGGGCTTCTGCTGGCCTGAGTGGGGGCTGGCAGAGCAGTACCCTGAGGTGGGCACGGGGAAGCGCTTCCTCAACTCTGGTGGTGAGTGGCAGAGAGCCTGAGGCAGAAGGACCAAGAGGTGTGGGGTATGGAGTGTTCCAGGTGCCCGAGGGCCAGAGAGGGAGTGGGGACAGGTCTGTGGGACCCCCGCAGTCTTGAAATCAACATTTCCACTCCCCCCACAGGATTCATCGGCTTTGCGCCCACCATCCACCAAATCGTCCACCAGTGGAAGTACAAGGATGATGATGATGATCAGCTGTTCTACACTCGACTCTACCTGGACCCAGGACTGAGAGTAGGGAGGGACAGAGGGGGGGCCACCTACAACTCTGTGGGGGTGTCAGGCCTCAGGCTGAATGGAAGAGAAGGGGTAAAGGGGCTTTGGGGGAAGATGTGAAGAGAAAAGAGTGAGAAATGATCTCCCACTCCCTCTTGAATTAACTGCCTCCTCTCATCCCATCCAGGAGAAACTCAGCCTTAATCTGGATCATAAATCTCGGATCTTTCAGAATCTTAATGGGGCTTTAGGTGAGAAGAAAGGCAACCAGAAGGGGCAATGACAGAGGCTGCTAGGGGTACTGAAGTAGAGAGGGGCTTCTAGTGGAACTAGGGTGATCTTCAACTCACCTTTGTGTTAACTTCATCAGACATGTAAATAGATGATGGATAAGGTTGCACTGTGCTAATAGTAGTAGTAAAAGCAGTGACAGTCATACCTAACATCTATGGAACATACTGTGTGCCAAGGCCCTGGGCCAGGGGCTTTACTTCTGTAATTTCATGTAATGCAACAATCCTACAAAGCGGGGGCATCTGCGGTTATCCTCTTGTTACAGATTAGAAAACTGCCTCTCTGAGGGGCTGGTGACTTGCCCAGTTTACACAGGTAGTAAGTGGAAGACCTCTCTAGTGTGGCAGCAGAGAAGCTGGATTCCTCCATATTTAGAAGCACCTGCTGCTTGGCAGCTTTGAGAGGAATGGAGTCTAAAGCCCAGCGTTTCTTCCCTAGATGAAGTGATTTTAAAGTTTGATCGGAATCGTGTGCGTATCCGGAATGTAGCCTATGACACGCTTCCTGTTGTGGTCCATGGGAATGGTCCCACTAAGGTATTCCAATGGCTCATACTCTCAGCCTCAGCCCCTGCCCCTGAGGCCAGGACCCAACCCCTGTCCCATACCTGGCTCCAGCTCCAGCCCCTTACCCTTGTCCCAGACCTGGCCCTACAGTCCCTGCCCCAGTCAGTCCTGTCCCAGCACTTGTCCCTGCCCCAGACCTAGCCGAGCCCCTGGGTACCTCCAGCCCTTCTGAGCAGTCAGTCCTCTCCAGCCCCAGCAGTAGAGGTGCTAGGAGAGGTTCTAAGTATCCACTGCTCCCCCTCTTGCCCTTTTCCTGTCTGTCTACCTGACCTTCCTCACTTCTGGCCCTAAACTCCTCTGCCTCAGCCTCTCCCCACCTCTCCCAACAGCTCCAGCTGAATTACCTGGGAAACTATGTCCCCAATGGCTGGACTCCTGAGGGAGGCTGTGGGTTCTGTGATCTGGACCGGAGGACACTCCCGGGGGGGAAGGTGAGGAGGGGTACCAGGGTGGGGCAGGAGAGCACACTGAAGCAGGGGTTGCAGGGAGAGCATGCTGGGCAGCAGTGCGGGGCAAAGCTCCTGAGGCCCCCTAAACCTGGCAGAGTTGTAGAAGACAGACCAGGTAGGGGTCTGGGCTTTCCTCTGAGCCCCGTCATGTATCTTCCAGCCACCCCCCCGGGTGCTTCTGGCCGTGTTTGTGGAACAGCCTACCCCATTCCTGCCCCGCTTCCTGCAGCGGCTGATGCTTCTGGACTATCCCCCCAACAGAATCACCCTTTTTCTGCATAACAATGTGAGATGCCCTGGCAGCCTCTCCCTGGGGGCCCTCCCAAGAGACCCTGCCCCTGCCCTGATCAGAACTCCTGCCTCCTCACCCAGATGGCTTCTTATACCCTGTTCACTTACCACCTTCCCTCTCCCATTCCTCAGACATCATCTTTTCTGCCCTCTCAGCAGCCCCGTTTTTTCCCCCCATCCCCAGGAGGTGTACCATGAGCCCCACATTGCAGACTCATGGCCCCAGCTCCAGAACCACTTCTCAGCTGTGAAGCTGGTGGGCCCAGAGGAGGCCCTGACCCCAGGAGAGGCCAGGGACATGGCCATGTGAGTGAGCCCTGGGTGGGAAGGACAGGTTGGGGTGAAGGAGCTAGGAGGTAGTGAGGCTGCCTCCCTCTGTACCACTCTTCCCTCTACCATCTACCATCCAGCTTTTTAGGGCCTCCAGCGTGCTGGCCTCAGCCACCACATGTGTTGTCCCTCCCCTGCCCCTCTTACACAGACTGGAGATCTTGGGGGTCCCAAAGTGAGGGAGAATTCCACTCCCTCTGCAGTCCCCTCCTCCACCTACCTGCTCCAGCTTCAGCTGCTTTGTCTGTTGGTCTTTCACCTCCAGGGACAGTTGTCGGCAGGACCCTGAGTGTGAATTCTACTTCAGCCTGGACGCTGATGCTGTCATCACCAACCCCAAGACCCTGCGTATTCTCATTGAAGAGAACAGGTCACTTGCCTGGCTCAGCCAGAGGGCCCCCAAGTAGCTCCCCAGGAACCTCCAGCTCCTTCCATGGGCATAGGGGTCACTTCTGCGCAGTCTTCATCTCCACTTGTTCACAGGAAGGTCATAGCACCCATGCTATCCCGCCACGGGAAGCTGTGGTCCAACTTCTGGGGAGCCCTGAGCCCCGATGAGTACTATGCACGCTCTGAGGACTATGTGGAGCTGGTGCAGCGGAAGCGAGTGTGAGTCCTGCTGGGGATGCAGCCACCTCTTTCTCCCACCCTCTCTCAAAGCCCCAGTCTCAGGGGTCTGGTGCATCTGTGGGGTAGTAGCTGACTGTGGAGCAGGACATGAGAGGGTTATGAGCAGCGGTGCTTAACAGCGGAATTGAGAGGGCCTCTGGGCT